TCTCTCTCTCTCTCTCTCTCCTCTCTCTCTCTCTCCTCTCTCATAAAGTGTAAAGGGACATTAACGGGCGATGCTTGGGCGCGGCAGAAGCGACCTACCGCGCACGATCGCGGCCTCGAAGAAGAGCGGAAAGAAGTGTGAAAGACTTGCTATTAAGCTCGATAGCGTTGCGAAAGATTGTGCGACGTAAAAATAGAGACATTTTCGACGACACGCATACTCCTTTTATCTGTCCGCCGACAATTAAGATACAATTAGGTCACCGGTCCGCGTCTTTTTCCTGTTTTATCACTATCATTTACACATCATTCGTAACCTTTAAATGAATACTCGAGAGGAAACGTGAGATGTCTGAGGCGAGACGTCGTTCGTCTGCCCCCGTTTACCACGGAGGAAAAAACGTTTCCTCGTGGAAAATTTAATGACTAATGACTGTGAGTAGTCGTTAGGAAAATTCATTCGCTCTCGTATTTTACTGACGCCGCTCTGCTCTTGGCAGATCTTGGACGATGATATTTATAGAAGATGTCGAGTATCGCTTTCATACGACGTGAGTAATTATCGAACGTGTGAATTTTTCTCACGTTATTTATATTTCTTCGAAATGAATATAAACGAGCGAGAATGAGTATGATCGACGGAATGCGAATCGCAAACATCTGATCGTCGCAAGTCCTTTTCATCGGCGGAGATTCTCTCCGTACAAGTACGCGCGTCCTGCAGATTCCTCCTTTATTTGTACGAAAGCACTCTTTACGCCTTCCCTTACACCGCACAAATGTATAAGTGTAAATAAATATATATGGACATGCGGCTAGTGCGGTACGCTCAGTGTGTTGTAATAATAGCGTGGCGTGAGAGAGTGTGTTGCGTGTTTTCAAATGACAGACATAAGGACAGGAGGTGAGCGACCAAACCCCCATTCTCCCTTTCCGACACTCCCCTTTTAAAAACCATTTCCTCCTAACGACCGTAGCTACTTTCTGTCTATGGCGATCATCCTACTCGCCTGATCTGACGGAATCGTTACGGAAGTTTGTGGGATTACGTTGCACTACTTATTCTCTCCTCTCGCGATTCAAAATGCGATTTTTTTTTTTTTACTTCAAGAATTTTATCCCTTTTAAATAATCAAGCATATCGATCGCGCTTTTACGGTTAATCTCTAAAATTTATCCGAGATCGTAATACGTAACATCGAAAAAGAAGAAGCAGAGCTTATTTTATGTCGTCATGTTTCTATATAAATACCTTTTTTTCTAATAATGTTGAAATCACGAGACGAGAATTTAATGTCCGAGTAATTAATTGTTGCGATAGCTCTTTTGTTTGTAGTTTCACAAGCCGATATCTCTTAAAGGCCAATTTGCGCAAATCAAGGGTGAAATATATCGTTCGCATGTCGATCTATTCACTGACGGCCAACGTTGTGTGGTCAACGTCGAACGCGGACAGTTCTGGACCGACTCTTCCTGTTTGCCGGCAATAGAAACGGCATCTCTCGAACTCGAGCGCTTGATTGCGCCGCGTTATTATTAGCGAGCTTCTCCAACGGCCGCGTCTCATTATACGACTGTGGCGTTATTCCGCCACAGTCTGTAACCATACCAGACGAATAATGATCGATCGCTGATGCATATCTCGGGGGCGTGCTCGTGCCTTACCAGTATTGTTTATGCTCTAAGTTATAACGCAGTATTAATTAATTATATCACAACGATTAATTGTCGATGACAGTTATGAGACGTGATGATCTTTCGCCTTTGATTTTTTTTTTCTTTTATAAAAGTTATACGTAAAGCTTATAATTTCTTTTCTCGCTACGTTTCTAATGATAGAGATAAGTACGAAAGATCGTATTTAAAATGAATTGTTTATTTTAAACAAATTTCTGACGTGCATGTTTATGGCATATTACGCTTGTTTTTGATTCGTATTCCACGCTCGCCTCCGACTGTCGAGAAATATCGCTCAAATTCTCCGCGGTATAGGATCCTCTCGCGGGTTCTTCTATTTTTCAGCACACGTGGGACGCACATATGTGGATGCGGGATCGTGCCAGTTTCCGTGGTATCTTTGACGGACCATCCGACTCTCTCGACTAGCTAAGTTTTCGTAAGAATTTGCATCGCGCTC